CCAGGAGCCCCTAGTAGCGATGCCAGGAGCCCTTAGTAGCGCCCTTGCTCCTAGCAGCGATGCCAGGAGCCCTAGTAGCGTCCTTGTTGCTATATCTTCAATCTTCAAAGTGTTTCAACCCGAAGCGCAGACATGGTGCGATCATACCAGCGATAGGTTTCCTCTTTTGACCTCAATGATCCCGCCCTGCGCACTGCTGCTTCCTTGGCTTCCAAGACAACCATCACTATCGCTGGCTGCGGACAGATTCATCTCATCTGAGAAAAGCCAGTAAAAGCTTAACTCTGAAGCTTAACACTTCGAAGCAAATGTAGCAAAAGCAAACTCCTTGTCACTTTGCGTTGAGGTTCGCCCAGCGATAGGGAGGATGCATTTTTGATGAAGCTGTTGCTGTTGCTGTGGCTGTTACTGGTCCGAAGCCGAGGTGATTCTTCCAGTTTCCAAGCCTAAGAGCGACGCTACAAGAATGGAGGGCCATTGGTTGATCTCTGACTGTCAGGGAAAGATTCTTTGAACCGAAGTTCTTGCTTGCCGACGCGAGTCCAAAACACCTTCTAGGACGCATAAAACACCTTGAAAAGAACGCTACTAGGGGCTCCTGGCCTTACTACTAGGAGCAAGGAGGCTATTAGGGGCTCCTGGCCTCGCTACTAGGAGTAAAGAACGCTACGTTTGGGGCTCCTTCAAAAACAAGGTACTTCCTAAGGTTCGACTTTTCCAACCAACTAGGCCCACAACTAGGTAGCTGCGCATGGCAGTTCTTTGCTCTCTCACTCCTTTGTGGCCTTGCCTTGTGTAAACGTAGTTTCCGATGTTCATGAGCATGGTGTTCCAAAATGGCTTCCTCAAATACAGCACCCTAAGCTGAGGCTCAGGCTACAAGATGCTAGCATTCCTTTTGTTTCAACTCTACGTTTTTCTTTTGGGAGACCTTTGGACAATTGTTGTTTCCTTCCTTTCAGGGCAAAATTGATGCGAAAATGATTGAGGTCCTGAACCGTTGGCATCCCCGTTGGTGAGATCACCTGTGGCACAATGGTGGGGACATACTATTGCTAGTCACAGTTGCATTCAGAGTAGCCGTAGCACTAGCAGTAGCAGTATAAATAGCAGTAGTAGTAGTAGTAGTAGTCGTCATCGTCGTCGTGGTAGTGACGCATCCCCGAGCAAGGAGTGATGGACTTGCATTCAATTCCTCCCAGCCTCAGCCACTGTGATGGACTCAATTCCTTCGACCCCACTGCTTCCTGCAGCTCAGAAAATGGATGTCGAGAGAAAAGGATCGAAAACGCGATCCGTTTAGTCTAAAAATCGTTCGTGCTTTCCTTGTTTCTTTCTATGCATCTCTAAAGGCCTTGTCGTTGAAATTCTTCTAGCGCCACCATTTCGCTTGTGTCATTGTCAGGTGAGACCTGCAATAGAAAGCTACAAAGCACAAGCCTCAGTTCTAGCGCACTTCCTCCAAAAAAACGCAGCAAATTAGAGTAACCGAATCAGGATGTTTCTAAATTGTTCTGACTGTTTGAATCATGCCTCTTTAAAAATTCTAAGTTTCCCTGAAATCTAGTAACCAAGTCGTCAGTGCGCGCGCTTCTTCAAGGAAGCTATCCTGCGTCCTAGGTAGTAGCTACCTAGTCTCTACTAGCTATAGCTACTACCTCTTCTAGCGGCCTACACCCCCTGGCTAAAAAATATATACAAACTAGACGACGAGTGGCCCGAAAGCATTTTTCATCACGTAGGAAGTCAGAGTGCGAGTTATCCGGTAAGTGTGCAGTGAGAAGTGTGAAGTCGAGTGAGTTGAGGTAGTGTGTGGGTTTCTGTGCGTGTGTCTATGTCCGTGTGGAAATGAGTCTGCGTATGTGTGTGTTCGTGTAAGTTGAGGGAGTGTGTGGGTGTCTGTGTGTGTGATGCGGCCTCCCAAACCCCCCACCGGCGGCCAAGCGGTGACAGCCCAGCTCATCGTCGTGAGCATTTGGGCTGCTGGTAAGGGGAGAAGCAGCGTGCACGGCGCCAGGAAAAGCTCACGGAAAAAAACGAACCGGAATGAGGACACAAAAGTGCCGAGGCAGGTGCGCCAGAAGTGTCTCGAAGCAGTGACCTGTCAGAGGAGATGAACGAAGTAGCGCGCAGGCCTCCCAAACCCCCAAGCGGTGACAGCCCAGCTCATCGTCATGAGCATGTGAGCTGCTGGTAAGGGGAGAAGCAGCGTGCACGGGTGTAGGGAATCTCACTAAAAAAACCCAGTTCGCAGCCACTACCCACTCGCCAGTTCTCATCTTCCCATTCCCCAGCTACTCTGCGTACTAAAGTTGTACTACCAAGTCGCCAGTTCTCATCTTCCCAGTCCCCAGCTACTCTGCGTACTAAAGTTGTACTACCAAGTCGCCACTTCTCATCTTCCAGCTCCCCCGCTACTCCGCGCACTACCTCCCGTGCTAGTTTTCCATACTCACACTTGCCTACTCATTGCACGCTTGCATACTCATTGCATGCTTGCATTTGCATGCTTGCATACTCATCACTTGCATACTTACACTAGCATACTTCCACTTGCATACTTTGACACTTGCATTGCATACTTTGCACTTCACTGCTTTCGCTCTTCCACTTACACAGGGCTACGTATAGCGTTCATGTTATCCTGCAAGTGTGGTGAAAGTGTCAATGTCTAAGTGTGTCTAAGTGTCAGTGTCGAAGTGTCAGTGTTCAAAGGATTTTCCGGAAGAACCCTTCGCAATGCTTTCGGGAAAAAATATGTATGGTGTTTTTCTCCCATTTTACCTTTCTCAAAATCTCCAAAAGCGCCTGAGACCGCATCTTGCAGGCAGGAGATGCGCGTGGCCCAGGTAGTAGAAGGAGATTCAAGGAGCCTCAAGGAGAGTTCTTAAACTGTAGCGTCCTTTGCTCCTAGTAGCGATGCCAGGAGCCCCTCCTTTGCTCCTGGTAGCGATGCCAGGAGCCCCTAGTAGCGTCCTTTGCTCCTAGTAGCG